CATTTAGTAAATTATTATTATTATATGACAGTGGCAGTATAAAAATTAATTCAACTAAAGTACCTTAAAAAAAGATTAAAATAAAAACAATACACTAGCATTTTCTTCTAAAAATAAGCAAAAATTAGAGTACAAAGACTCTAATATATTTCTAAGTTCTTTAAAACTGAGGTATAAACGATCTGAAGTGCAGTTTTTAACAGGATAGACTGACTCACAATATCAGAATACACAGTGGGTAGAAGACAAAGAGGCTGAACGCTGCACATGTAGTTATGTTGTTACAAAGATGTGCAATTAGAACTCATTTGTGAAACATTAACGTTACAGGATTCTGAGCAGCAAGAAAAAGCTAGAAATGGTAAAGCAACACTGAACAAAAGAATAATTTCTCTAAACATAAAAGGAGGTTTTAATGCACCTCCATCACACCTAGCCAACAAAAGATTGCAGAACAAGTTGACAATTCTTTTTTCTGATTTTTATAAGTGATTTTGCATGAAACAGAAAGCCTTTTATGTAACTAGATGCAGCTGTGCTTATGCAAGTATTTATAGTCACTCAAGTCATTGTTTGGATTTATATAATACACTAAATCATAATGTAATAGATTATATAATGTCTGAACTCAACCAGCAAACCTAGTTTTATGACGCAGCATTGTATGTGAATAAGGTCACAATGGCTTATTGATAAAACAAAGCATGATCAAACAAACGGTGGTTTAGTCAAATATATAAATTTGGTCCATATAAAAAAATATCAGCTTTTCCAAACCAGATGGTGTTAAGTTGGAAGCACTTGAAAATATATAGGGCAGATGTGAAAGACAGCTGGGAACAAGGAGAGCAAGTGGAGATGGAGTAAAGCCAGGTACGTTTAATAGAGAAATATGGGAAGGCAGAGGTTTGCCAACATTTTTGTGTGTCTGCGTGTGTATGCCTTCAAGTATGCCTTCAAATCATTCAAATCATTCTTGACTCCTGGCAATTGCCTGGACTAGTCCCTGCAGTTTTCTTGGCAAGGTTTTTTGGAAGTGGTTTGCCACTGCCTCCTTCCTAGGGCTGAGAGAGAGTGACTGGACCAAGGTCACCCAACTGGCTTTGTGCTTCAAGCAAGGAGGACTCACGGTCTTCTGATTTCAGCCTGGTGCCTTGAACCGCTACACCAAGCTGGGTATCTTGTCAACATTGCTCTGACAAACCCAGTTCCATTCACATAAGTCCCGATCGTTACAAGATCATACAAATAGAAAGACCTGTATGTATCTTGGAATAAAAACCACTCCATCCAGGACTTCTTTCATAGGATTTGTCGAGCCCTGCAAGGCTGCAAACTCCTGAAACAAGAACCACTTAGATTCCTGGAAAGATTTTTATTGCTAGTAGGATAATGTAACTGAACACTTGAAAGCCCATCAAAACAATTATCCTGCTCAACTTATACCTAGCATAGTTAAGGCAGTGCTGCTCTGAGTTTCTTCCTCACATTTTCCCCATCCCTTGAGCTGAAGTATCTCTTTTGCAATGGACCTGTTTTCTCCTTCCCTTTCCTGGGGTCTGTCAGATTTTCTACTCTAGGAATGCACCATGAAATATTTTGAGTTCACAGGGGTTGAAATTTAATTTTAGTTTTGTTCATTATATTTAGTCAAACTATCTTCCAGTACAACACTGATTAAATAGTCCATAAATTCCAGATCACAAACATTCCGAAAATGTAACATAGAATATATATGTGCATACATTGTCATTTTGGCTGCTTCCCCCAATCAAGCTCATCTTTCTTCAAAATTAAAGAAAAGACATATTCCAATCCTCCTATATGCAAATGATGTGATGCTGCTATTTCAGATGACACCTGGCCCTAAAGTGAGCCTTGTATGCCTAAGTCTCATATTGCAGTGTAGAAATCCTCAAAATTAATTATACAAAAACTAATGTCTTAATTTTGGTTAAATGCCTAAAATTCATGCTTGGCAACTGAATAAGCACCTGTTTGAATAGCACCTGTTAACAGGTTAACATTTTCAAGTATTTAAGGGTAGTGTTTCATGCTACCAGTAGATGAAGGGCACATATGAAGCATGTTGTTTAAAATGCACAGAAATCAACAATATCCTGTAATATTTTTACTATCTTAGAGGTGCATTATTCGTATCTGCTACTCAAATAGCATTTTGAGCTGGAGTCTGGGCGCAACTTTTGTTTGAAGCAGAATTGGGACCATATAACTCCTCTACCCTCTTGGAGAAAGTGCAATTTAAATTCTTAAGGAACGTATCTCAAATTTCCAATGTGGTTGCATGCTGTGTTATCAAAACTGAGACTCATATTTGGCTGAAGTTATTTTTTTCATCCATGGGCTTGGCCCCATGATTTTAACTGATGATGTTGTTTCACCCTGGAGAAGAACATTGCATGAGAAATTGAAATGCAATGGCTTCTCAGCTGATGCAGTTCTGATGATGGGACATGAGCATGTAACAGCAGCCCTTAAACAGCATGCCACAGATCTGGAAAGCTAATTAGATCTACCTAGAATTGCTTCCTGGGTAGTTGTTCCCCTTTTTTCAAATGGGCAAAATTTATTTATTTATTTGATTTTTATCCCACCTTTAGTTTTGGTAACTCAAGGTGTATGTACCTAATGTTCTTGCCTATTTTTCCTACTACAACAACCATGCATGGTGGATTGACTGGCTCAAAGTTATCCAGCTGGATTTCATGGCTAAAGGAGAAACAGAACTCACAGCCTCCTAGTTTCAAACCCAGCACCAAACTTGCTCTCATATTTAAGATATTTAAGCTAAGTAACAGTTCCCAAGTTCAGAAGAGCCTAAGTCTAGGAAGTTTTAATGCCACTTCTACAGCTGTTCTTAAGGGGAAGATGTGGGGTATTCAAATCAAACAAGGGCTTTGCTTTTATGGTGAAGGAATTATTGAAACATTAAGCCATGTTTTATTCTATTGTGCTTATTATAAAGATGTCCAGTTACAGCTAATAATTCCCCAAATTGTCAGATTTTCAGTTTTACCATTATTTAATTTTACAACAATTATTATTTGCTGGCTCAGAAGTTTTGCTCTTCATTAGAGTTGGTCAATGACCATAATAAAGTTACTAATTGACTGATACATGCATATAGTTTAATGAAAAAAACAGAGAGAGAGTTTGACAGTAGACAGTTTGGTAAAAAAATATAGTGCTAGAGAACTGATGGTAAGATATAGTATATCTCAAATTGTTTTGGATTCCTGTATTAAGACTTAATTCTCAAGACTTATTTTCCTTTATAAAATCAGCTTAGAAGGCAGGCAAATTTATAGCTTAACACTTTTTAAAAGGAAAAGCAATATCCCAGTCCCAAGTATCAGGTTGTTGAATATAAAGTTTGGGTTATAAACATTTCATGCTTCATCTCCGTAACTCCAAAACCTTCTTTTTATTGTGCATGACTTGTACTTTTCTGCCTTAATTTCTCTCCCCTGCCGTTCAAGGAAAAAAAGCAGTGGAGCGGGTGAGAGCAAAGACATACTAACAGGAAAGGAGAATATAAACAACAGCTTACAAAACCAAAATCACTGTTAGCTTTGCCAATAAAATTCTTCTCTTCAAGGATGGTTAAACAATTAAAAAATACCTTTAATGAGCTGCTAGTAGCACTATCCAATCCAGCTGTCAATGAATAACTGTCCTGAAATCTGCAAAATACTAACTTCCAAAGTAAATTAAAGGGATTTGATTCTACGTTTATAGAAAGTAATGGGCAATTTAAAAGAAAAATCCATCAAAACCCTGTATTTTCTCCCTTCTTAGCTGCAATGCTAACTTATCCTTGCTATCAGCAGCCATCTTGTCTTAGGTGAGAATTTGATAATTTAAAATGAATGAGAAGGTGTATCTGGATAAAAATGATTATCTGCATCCATTTCAACCAGGGTTTTGCCCAGAGTTCAATCGTGCTAATTCTACTGGATCTCTTGGTGTCTTTTGATAGCACAGACCTTGGAATTCTTCTGGGTCTTCTGGTATAGTTAAGCTTTGGGAACACTGTTGTGCAGTGATTCCTTTCAAGGCACATCCAGAAGATGCTGCTGAGGGACTACTGTTTGACACCTAGGTTGCTGACCTATAGTATCTCACAGCATTTTATCTTGTCCCCATGCTATTTAATATCTATGTAAAACTAAGGGAATTTTACTTAGAGTTTGGAATGGAGTGCCATCAGTATGCTGATGACATCTAACTCTGTTGTTCCTTACCTGCTAATTCCAAGGATGTAATCAGCATCCTTGAACACTGCATAAATTTAATAACAGGCTGGATGAGAGTGAACAAGCAGAAATTAAATTCAGACAAGAGACATGCTGTTGGTAAGCAGGAAACTGGACCCTTTATAAAGACTTTCTGCTTTCTCCATATTTTATGGATTTGTTTATAGATAAGAGGTGGGATATGGGATGAAGAGATAAATGTTTGTAACCTTAGAGGGGGTGAAGAGTCACTAATTTTGTTAATACTTGTGATGAAGGTTGGAAGCCACTTCTTTATACATTTTTTATTTTTATTATATTCTTTTCTCTTTCTTCTCTCTTTTTCCTTGAACTTTTTATTCCTTCTTTCTATTTTTTTTAAGTTTAGTTTGTTTAGATTTTACTATTATAACCAAATTCTTAATAAAAATTATATATATATTAAAAAAGAAAAGTGGGATATAAATAAATTGTAATTTCAAATTTCATACAGGGATTAATCAAATAATGCTATCTATTTATAGGAATGCATGTGGTGCTGGGAGAAAAAACGTACATTGCTCTCAGGATGTCCTCTATTTTTATACGTAACTCCAGTTATAAAAAGTTGTTATTACAAATGAAGACGACAAATATTAAAGCAAAATTTTCATTAATAACTTGAACAGGAATTAACAGATGACCTGGTAGAACCATCATTAAAGAAAAAGCCAGAATGAAATATTAAGAGAAACAAAGACATACTTCATCTCTAGGACCTCCTCCAAATGTTTCCTCCTTTCAGCCCGCAAGTTGGTTAAATGGGTTTCCTTCTCAGCCAGAGACTGCTGAGTAGAGGATAGCTTTGCTTTCATAGATTCCAGTTCTTGTTTTACTTTCTCCATAGCCATCATCAACTCTTCTACCTAAGGAATTTAAGAATGATAAAGAGGAAGAAGAGAGAAAGTATGTGATTATGAAACAATATTTGCCATTCACCAGAGCTATAGCATGATGGAACAAAAATATTGAAAATGGTCAATTTATCCTCGTTGAAATAACATGCTTAGTCTGAAATAACATGGATTGATGCTATTATAAATGAGAGAAAACACTTCTTTATTACACATGTGGCTATTCACTGTTGGGTTTTAATTTATAATAGCTGATAATATATCTTTTATGCCCTACCTTCATTAAAATGTATAGGAAAAAATTACATTACAAAATTTTAATTACAAAGCCAACATCCTTAATTTCAGTACAACAAAACTGTACTGAGGAACACAATACCAAAAACGTTAAAATAACTTTTCTATATACATTCTGAACATTTGAACAGATCTTTCTCCCTCACAGCGAAGATACAGTTTATATGACGAGGTTGTTCTGTAACTAATTGGAAAGTTGTGTATTTAAGCTGGAACTCGATTCCATTTTGTTTATCTCTAATAAAATCATAATCTTGGGCATTAGAAGAACCCATCTTATTTATCTGGTAATTTTAGACCTCCCTGGACCATTTTGTAGGACAGAATATTTGATACAGTTCAAAATGCAAGGAAGAATAGGTTGCTAAAGGAGAAAGATACCAGTACAAGTTAGTCTGAAGAAGTCAGAAACAGAAGGACAAAAAGACAACCCTTCCTTATCTAACTCATGCTGAAACCAATAAAAGAAGGGCAGATATGGAAGGAGCTTTACTCAGAGGCCAGATATATTTGCCAGGCCTCTTCCTAGAGCCTGGATGATTTCAGTAGGACAGAACCAGAGATACCTCTGAAGTCTTCCTCATTAATGTCATGCTGCAGAGAGCAACTCGAAACAACAGTTCTTGTAAAACAGAATCTCCTTTGGGAAAGGCAAAGATTGGATGAAGATGTGGGAACCATTACTGGAGCATCTTGAAGCAATGGGTCCCAAACAGTCTGTTTGTCTATGCCCTCACTTTCCTGGAAGTTGGATAAAAGGACAATATTTCATGAAAGACCTCAAAAGATCCTCACAAGTGAATAGGAGAGACAAGCTAAATTTTACCTGCAGGTCAGAAGTCTATAATTATATTTTTGTATTGCCAAATTACATTGCTAGCTGTAACAATATCACTCTGCTAGTAGAATGCACACTACTGAAGAATTTATTTATTCATTTATTTAAAAGATACGTAGGCTGCCCATCTTAAAACACAACTCTGGGTGGCTCACAACAGTAAAACTCCCAAATGATAAAAACCATAACATTGTTGAATTGAATCCTGCCCCACTTCCAGCCCGCCCCCCCCCCCCCCACACCCTCCTCTAATGATGTTTTTTTATAAAAATTTTTAGGGGGCAACAAGGGGCTGGAGGGGGGGGGGGGGGGGGGGGG